GAGACTTCTGGGCACGCTTCAACGGCGCGAGCGCATCGACTCACTATATATGGTCACGGAGTCATCCGTCCGTCCCTGCAAACGGCACTCCAGCCTCCCCCTCCCCCCCCCACCCCCCCACCCCACCCCACCCCACCCCCCGAGACTTATCAGGGTTGGGTTTGAATCCCCAGGGCCTCAAGGTCTCGCGGAAATAAAATAATAAAGCAGGCATCTCCAGGGGGGCTGGGCGACGCACGAACACAGAGAGAGGCACAGCCGGCGCACCCCGCCCCGCTCGCAGGGCGTGCATCACCTCTGATTGATTGCAAAAGAAAGAAACCGACAACGCGAGGGAGGGATCGGAGGAAAGAAAGAAAGAAAGAAAACAGACAACCCAAGGGAGGGATGGGAGGACGGCACGCACGCCGCCACCACACAGGGATTTCAAGGAGAGGAGTGTGGTGCTAGCCGTCGCCCACCCTAACCCTTGGGCGTCTGCCTCTTTCTATCTCCCTTCGCAGTCCCTCGCCGATTCTCGCTGCAACCTTCATGCCACCTCGCGGTCATCCCACTCTCGTCGTTCTCCCTCCTGGCGCTTCCTCCTCTGTCGCGTCGCTCTCGTCTGCCTCATCCTGCGACGCCGCCGCCGCCTGCCGATCCTTGCTCTCGCGGCTTCTCCCGCCTTTCGGCGCAACTCTGCCCTCCTCGCGGCGTATCTTGGCCCCTCGAGTTTATCGAGCTCTCCTCGCGCAAGGACGACTCTTCTGACGCCCACTGCTATCATTTGCCGCCAAGTCATGTCGTTGCTCAGGTCCACTCTCGCTTCGGAGTACCTCCACAGATGGTGTTGGCGCTGGGGTCCCCTTCGGGTGCATCGTGACGGATCGAAAGAAAGAAAGAAAGAAAACAGACAACCCAAGGGAGGGATGGGAGGACGGTACGCCGCCACCACACAGGGATTTTAGGGGAGAAGTTCAGGCCGAGCGACGGCGGCGGCTACGTGGCGTACAAGAAGGCGGACTACGCGCACGCCCTCTCGCGCTCGGACACCGACGTGCAGATGTACCTGTTTGAAACCTTCGGCGGGTGGTGCACAACGCGGTCAAACGGCTGTTCTACCAGATGAAGGACAAGGTGCGCAACAAGCTCTCGAAGCGGCAGCACGAGGACGAGGCGAGCTGGTCGACGCGGTCGTGGCTGTCGCTGCAGGCCCAGCGCATGTCAGTCGCGCTGCAGCTCGCGGCGGCGGAAGAGATTGCGACCGAGCTCAGGCTCGCCGCGGCGTCGGAGGACGCCGCCGTCGCCTAGACTCCCCTGCGTCACTACGTGCCTCCCCGTCTTTGTGGCCTGGCGTTTGTGCCCCGTTTGTGCCGCGTCCCGTGCCCCCGAGTTCATTCTATAAGCAAAAGTGGGAGAGAGAGAGTTTTGCGTTTTGTGTTTGAGAAGTGTGGTGTTAGCCGTCGCCTACCCTCGGGCGTCTACCACTTCCTATCTCTCTCCGCAGTTTATCACCAATTCTTGCAGCGACCTTCATGCCACCTCGCATTCTTCTCACTCTCGTCGTTCTCTCTCCTGCTGTCTTTTCGTCACGGATCGGACCTTGAAGGACGAGAGTTCAGGTTTCTTTGTCCAGCCTGTTGCTCGTGCGATGAGGGCGGCTGCTCGGGTGGCGCTGTGCTTCCTTCTTCTGCCCGCCTCGGGTCTGGTCTTGCCGGCTGCTCGCGTCGCCCCGCGCGCCGGGTGCGTCTACGCCGCGTGCGGGCCGGCCGCGCCGGAGCCGCAGGGCGGCTTGCGGCGTGTACTGCAGCGGCTGCGGCGGCCGCACACAAGCCCGGCGAGGCCCGGGCTGCTCAAGCGGGTGGGCGGCGCCTTCGCGGTCGCGTCCGCGTCGGTGCTCCTCCGCGCGCCCGGCCCCGCCGTCGCGGCGCCG